TACTTTCTCACCCTTGGTTGCATGTTCTGCAACCTTCTCTGCCACTTTCAATTTTTCTTGGTTTCTCTATATAGTCCTCTTGTAAAGAAACACTTATCACTTGAAAGCTTTTAAAAACGTATATTAATGTGCAGTACAGATGTGGTACGGATTGCTTACATAGGGGATTAATTGGCACTCTGTTTGTCCTGTGTGCTGTGTTAGTGCACAGACTGTTGTTGCATGTGCCCTTCTCTCACTAAGTCTACAACAGACATACATTATATTGATCATCTGTGCCTTTTAAGCTATAATTACCTATAATTAAATGACTAAATTAGCAGCACAGCTTACCTTCATAAGACATAGGTGAGTTAGGGTTCAAGAACTGAGTCTTACTTTTATACATGTAGTCACTAATCGTGCCATCTCAGTCAAGCTTTTTCCCATTTTATCAGTTTAAGGGAAAATTAAAATTCAGTGTTTCATTTGGACCCAAGCCACTAATCCCTGGGGCTAGAACTGCCATTAGGAATCTCCTCCATTATTATTGGTACTATGCTTTTGTGTGGAGCTACCAAGTGGTAGAAATACATTGATGGATATGAACTAATGGACTATGTCTTGTGAGACACTGGTCCTCACCAGCATTCTTTGCCTGAAGGGACGTTTCTCCTCTTCATGCTTTATGCTTCACACCCCGATCATATGAGCCGATTGCTCTACTGTATGTACTGTTTGCCAAGAGCTATAAGAACTAATTCCCCTCCACCCCCAAACTTATTTGAATATACAAAGATGTTGTAAAAGCAACATACAATCCTATTTAAACAATTTCGAAACATGGAGTACATGTCCTTTTGGTCCGCTGGGACTTTTCAAGTGATCCAGGGAACCTCTGCTCAGAGTGGAAATGACTCACCCTGAAATGTTCTTATTCTAATAGTTCAAGCCTCGCTTTTTATTTTTAGATCAATTGAACTTGGATGCCCCCACAAAATTATCCCCCTAGCCTAGCTATGACCAAATTTGGCTGAACAGTGAACACTGTCACCCCTAGAGGAACAAGCATTGTTACATCAGAGAGAGGACAACTTTCCCTCTAAGCAATAGACTTTCCCTTAACAACATGTCTCAGCTGTGCAGAGGCGCGGTCAGCTTTTTCTGTTTGCACTATGAATGTACATTGGCACTGCAATGATACTAGTTTTTTTTTTTTTTAACAAGGTAGCCGTGCACTGATCTTCTATGCAAAATACAGCTGCTAGAAACTGTATTTCAAGAGCAATGACAAACTTGAGCCATACTTTGCAAGCTTGCTCGGATACAGCACCTTACAGTTTATAAATTTGAAGTTATTGATCTTTGCCGCAAATACCCGTGATCTGCTTCAGTGTGCAAGGCTAAGGATAAAATGTTTTTAAAGGTCAGAGCAATAATCTCAGTGTGGCTCTGTGCATAGCATCTGTTTTCTATTAAAATCTGTCTTTGCTTGTTTTTTTCTCTCTCTCTCTCTCTCTCTCCCAGACACAGAAACCATTAGTAAAATTCGTGATCTTCGCATGAAAGCAGAGGACTATGAGGTGGTTAAAGTTATTGGGAGGGGTGCATTTGGAGAAGTTCAGTTGGTAAGAATGCTGTATTTTACTTTTGTTTTGCTCTCTGAAGCAACTTAAGTTTGTGAGAAGTACTTGAATAAGCCTAACTTGATTGCCACCACTTCATCTTTTTCCAGGTAAGACACAAAGCCACAAGCAAAGTATACGCCATGAAGCTGCTGAGCAAGTTTGAGATGATCAAGAGGTCGGACTCTGCTTTCTTCTGGGAGGAGAGGGACATCATGGCGTTTGCCAACAGCACGTGGGTGGTGCAGGTATGATGTGACAGAAAAACAAGAATCTAAAATCTACTTAAGTATGATAGCACTATGTACAGACCACACACACACATAAACCCAGCCTTATGTGTAAGTCTAAAATGTTCACTTTTGAAGGGACGTTTTTTTATTAATTGTTTTAATGTAAGTATTTCTTCTCTTTTTTTGTTCTGCAGCTCTTTTTTGCATTCCAAGATGACCGATACCTCTACATGGTAATGGAATACATGCCTGGTGGCGACTTGGTGAACTTGATGAGCAACTATGACGTCCCAGAGAAGTGGGCTCGTTTTTACACAGCTGAGGTGGTGTTAGCTCTGGATGGAATCCACTCCATGGGCTTCATTCACAGGTAATGGCACAACACTCGCTTTTCTTATTGTTGGTAGGTTTGGTTTCCGGATTGGCTGCCATCAAAAACAGCTTCTTAACATTGCATATTTATTTCTAATAGAATTACTGTTTACTTTGTGTTTTATACTGTTTTGGAAGTGCTTCTGAAACCTGGTACAAAGAAAATGTAAGCAGGAAGTTGTCCAGGGACACGTTTTTTTATGAATAATGTTAGTTACTTGCCAGTGATCCTAACTATAGGTCTTATTTTAGGCCATTGATCTAAGCACCAAAATGCTTCTGAATTTATGTTAGAAGCTAAAAATGTTTCCAGTTCTCTACCTGTATCTCAAACCAATTATAGGCTATTAAAAAAGTTGTAGTTTCTGTCATTTCTGTATTGTGTTTTTACAAGTAGTTTATATGAGATTTGTCTATTAGAGTTGTTTCTGTTCTGTTTAGTTCCATGATGCTGGCTATAGGTCTGCAATATCTCTTGTAATAGCAGGCTAATCTTTCTATGCTGCACAGCACCACATTTTTATGATATAATTTATATCTCTATTTATGTTTAATGTATATATCCTTTCCTTTCTTAAAATAGTTATCCTACATAATTATCTCTGTGCACAGCAGCAATGGAAAATTCACACCACAGCAGCTGTATTTAACATACATCCACTCTCTTCACATTATTATTTTGGAAGTTGTAATTAAAGGAAATATAAAAAAAAAAAACAACATAAATTCCACTCTCTCATTTCTGAGCCTTAGTCATACCTCATTATGTCTGACCTGGTGTTGCAGTGGAGTGTAGCACTTTCACACAGTTCTGATTTGGAAAGCTAATTTATCAAATGGCACCCTCAAGCTGCTCTAGCCTTAATCATACCTACATGCAGTTTGCTTCAGTTTTCCTGTTATATGCTTGAGTTTGGTTTTGTTTTTTTGAGTTGTATGTATGTTTGATTTCACTTTATTTTTGCCTTCTCAGGGATGTGAAGCCTGATAACATGTTGCTAGACAAAGCAGGCCACTTAAAACTGGCAGACTTTGGGACCTGTATGAAAATGAACAAGGTATCACATTCATGGTATCATGTTTTTGAGGGATACTACATTACACTTGGCTTCCCTCGGAAATGACTCTTCTCTTTTTGTCTTTTTACTACATACATAAAAATATTTCAAGTCACTGTGATTAGTTTGCTTATCACAAACATCTTAGGCTCCCCTCCATTTGTTTCAGTTATTACGACCTGATATTCCAACAAAGCATTCTAATTTAGTTTTTCCTCCTCTTAGGATGGTATGGTACGATGCGACACAGCAGTGGGAACTCCAGACTACATTTCACCTGAGGTACTGAAATCCCAAGGAGGAGATGGCTACTACGGCAGAGAGTGTGACTGGTGGTCGGTGGGAGTGTTCTTGTATGAAATGCTAGTTGGTGAGTTCTTGCTGAAAAAGGAGATTATTTGAGGTTTATTTTATTATAGTAATTTATGCTCTTTATAAATGAACCCCCTGGTTCATTTTTACCTTGCATCCATTATCAAATTCATTAATGTTATGCTTCTGTTTTTTTCTGTTTTCTATGTGTATGTTTTATTTTCTGTGGCCATATCAGTAACCTTTGGCTGTGTTTTTTTTGTCCTATGTTGTTTTTTTTTTTTTTTTTTGGTCCTGTGTTGTGCACAGGCGACACTCCTTTCTATGCAGACTCGCTGGTGGGGACCTACAGCAAAATTATGAACCACAAGAATGCCCTGACCTTTCCGGATGACAGTGACATCTCCAACGATGCCAAGAATCTCATCTGTGCTTTCTTGACTGACAGGTTAGATCGCAATAGACCCTGGGTCATAAAGAGGGCTCTTATCTTAAGACCTTTTCCTATTTAGGTATGGCTTGTTTCTTGGCTTAGAGGGCCCTCTGTGGAAATAATCTAGATAGAAGCATATATACACTATAGAAGATGTGCCTTTTTGTATTGATATTTAAGGGCTGTTGTATTTCCTCCTGACCCCTACAGAGACGTCCGACTTGGTCGTAATGGTGTAGATGAGATCAAGAAGCATCATTTCTTCAAGAATGATCAGTGGACATGGGAGAGCATCAGAGAGGGTAAGAACACTTTCACTGTTTTCACTATTAAAATTACAGATTAGTTTCACACTTCCCATTTTGTTTGTCAGTCTTCGTAATGTAGCATTCATGTAGCCAGCCGTCATGTTTTTCATTTGACCTACTACAGACAGTTGCAGGAAATTCTTGTAGATGAACCATTCATTCAACATCCTTTCTAAGACTAAATGTAACTCCTGCTCAGAGAATGGCAGCACAGCTTTTTTGAGTTCAACAACAGGGTCTGACACTTGGAGACAGAAAACCACACACACCCGCACTATCATCAAAACACCAAATGAGGGAACATCTTTTGGAAGAATGGTGTTCATCCCTCCAGTAGAGTTCAAGGCACAATGAAGCTGTTGTGGCATCTCATGGTGGCCCAGCTCCTTACTGAGACACCTTATGTTGGGGGTTCCTTTAATTTGTCACCCGTCTTTATTTAGTCCAGATAATCTACCTCCAGATCCAGTTATGTCAGATAAAAAGAAAATATTTATTGAAAAGGATAGAAGTAAGAAAATAAAATATAGTAAAAGCAAAAATACTGACTGTTTAAAGGTCTAACATGATCTCATAAATTAAATGGTAATTATATTTGCATCCGTTATTCTTGACTTTATGAATGAATATTCTGATAAGTGATCATACTTAAAATATAGACCTATTTTAAAGGTGTGTTATAGAGGTAAAAAATAAAATAAAAAAGCCATTAGCAACATCAGAGAACATGAATGACTTGTTGTCCAGGCTTTATGTGTACATTTGAAAATCTCCACTTGTTGTCACTCAGTGACTTGGTATGGTAATGAACTATTCGACTATGACTGACTATGGCAATGAATTATCTCCTGTGTAATCATCAATCTTCTGTCCCCTTGTTCCATGTGCAGCGGCTGCTCCGGTTGTGCCTGAACTGAGCAGTGACACTGACACCAGTAACTTTGACGACATCGAGGAGGATCGGGGGGAGGAAGAGACATTCCCCATACCAAAGGCCTTTGTGGGCAATCAGCTTCCCTTTGTGGGCTTCACTTACTACAGCAATCAGCAGTAAGTTTGCCAGGCTTTGCTGCTGCATTCATTGTGAGTGTGCAGAATGTTGCTAGTTTGCTTTTGTGTAACACAAAATGGTCACATAATTGCACATATAATGAAAGGTAGGATAACTCTTGACTTCAATAGCAGCCCAGAGAGTGTACTCATTGCATCAATTTGTCATAGTCAACATTGATGTTTGCTTGTAAATGCCCCTAGAATTTTTACATTGTACATTCATGTAAAAGGTATATAACAATTAGTGGCATTTTTAAGTTGTTACTTAGAGAAGAGGTTGTAATTTAATTATCACAATCAGGTACCTGTACAAAAAAGTATTCTCTTTCCAGTCTTTTGCGTGGCTCCACCACAAAGACCAGTGACAAACGTAGCAGCTCCACAAAGGAAGACAAGAGCCATGTGAGTGGAAGACAAATTTTTAAGAAGTCTTTTAATATGTAGAATTTCTGCCATTTTTTATCATCTCTAAAATTCAAATGATATGTTCTTGTTTAGCTGGAGAACCTGCAGAAAAGGATCTACCAGCTTGAGGAGCAGCTCCACAGTGAGATGCAACTAAAGGACGAGTTGGAGCAGAAATGCAGGTTTAGAACAAGTTATTCATACATGCACAAAAATGTAGCTGCTTTCTTAGCCAAATGAAAGCTTCTGATCCAAATTATGAACCCAGGAGCGCTAAAGAGATATGGGAAAAATAGTTGAGGTTTAGTGGGAACCTATTCAAATTTGCTTCAGTGCTTGTAAATAAAAAGGACCATAGATAACTTACTATGACATGGTATCAGTGTGTTTCTTAGCTACAAGTGCATCTTTCATTTAAGAAGAAGCCACACTTTTGTATGTATGACTTCAACTTGTTATTGGAAGAGACGTTCCACGTATTTTTCTCAAATTCTCTCCCTAGGGCATCAAACACCAAGATCGACAAAATCATGAAAGAGCTGGATGAAGAGGTTAAATTCTGACTTTTTATAAAAAGCGCAAAACACAAAATGACAAAGTTGAATAAATTACTATGTAAAATCAGGGGCTATATTAAGTTTTGCTTTGTTCCTTGCCACATCATAGCCTCTCTGTTGTTCTTTGCCATAGGCAAACTTGAGGAAGAGTACAGAGGCCAACGTGTCTCTGCTGGAGAAGGACAAGATCATGCTGCAGCACCGATTTACTGATTTCCAAAGAAAAGCAGACCAAGAAGCAGAGAAGAGACGTAATTTGGAGAATGAGGGTAAAGATAATGAAATGCTGCTGATGTATGATTCAGACACTTTGCAATTAAAGTATAATTGCAGAGGGAAGCAGTGATGCAGTCAGTGTTTGAACATAGCTTTTGTTACATTGTAATTCCCTCAACCAGGGGTTCCCAAACTTTTTCAGTTCGAGACCCAAAAAAGAAATTTGCTCTCTCTGGGACCCAAACTTACAAAAATACTTCACGGATTGCTACAACATCTGCGATTGTAAAGTACCGATGATGAGCACAACAAAGTCTAAAAGTAAAATGTAGCCCTAATGCAATTTATTTCTTTCATTATAAAAGCACATCCCAGCAATAATGAAATTGCTGAGAATAATCTTAAATTTCTCATGGCCTTATAACGAACTTGTATGAAAAAAATATCATTAGGACTGTCATCGAATTATAGTCATTACATTCAGGGTGGACTGACCAACCTTAACAAAGGCAGCTACATGTGTGGTGTATTATGCAACATATTTGCCATTAATTTTATTTCATGTGATGCAACAATGAATAACATTTGAACAGTAGTCCAGTCTGATCATATGCACTGATACACAGTAACATTCAGTAGGATGTAGAATCTGCTGGTTTCCTCTTCCTCCTCCTCCTCAATCCTCACTCTTTCTTTTTCACCATGTTTAAATGGTACTGTCAGTATTTAAGACGTATTCACTGATCTACAATAATCACACTTAGAACAAAATGTCAGCAACACAGATCCTCTCTGCTCACTCTTCTCTCTGATGCTCCTGCATCTTTTTTACTTTGCTCATCGTCACACACAGCAGCTGTTTATACTCGCTGGTTTACTGTTTATAGTCCATTAGCTAAATTTGGCATCAGCCAACAAGTACATTCCCTTTTTCTGCAGTGTGGGTTTACCAAATCACCAAGTTTAATTTTCTACCACATCTGCTTTGCAGGTGTGAAGGTAACGGCTCTCATGGCTATTAGGGCTGCACCAGCAGTGTCTCCGCAGCAGTTGAATAACTGTTAAATTAATCTGTGTATTTCATTTCCTGTCTGATTATTTCTAGTGTCAACTTTAAAGGAGCAGCTGGAAGATATGAGAAAGATCAGCCACAACTCACAGGCCTCAAATGACAAGATTGTCCAGCTGCAGAACCAGGTACAGTAGAAGTGCACTTACACTTGTCTGGACCAATGTACACACTGCATTTAACTGGTTCCATTTCCCCCATGGTGCAGTTTGTTTGGGCAGGTGTGAACGCAGCAATTGCACTCAGGAGTGCACCAAAACAACTGCACTGAGACCCTTTCCTGGAGGTGGTCTCATTATTGTTCCAAATAAACTCTGGAGCAGTTCGTTTGTGGTGTGAATGTGATCCGACCTCAATCCAAAATTATTTCATAGGACTATTCACTGGCAAAGAACACAGGTCTTCTTCCTGTGTTTATTTTGTCATTACTGCCCCAGACTCCTTTAACCAGTGAGCAAAGAAAATGTTCTCATGTCATTTATAGTGATGCATTTTGTTTTGCTTGGATTTTTCTGTGTGTGAAAGGGAAGCGAACCAAGGGGAAAACTGATCAAGTTTACATACTTATCTGCTGATTCGGACTAGTGCAAACGAACTACAGGTGTGAAAATGCCTTAATTTTATTTTTTTTCTCACCGTTTGTGTTTTGATTGACAGCTAGAAGAGGCCAACGACCTGCTGCGCTCAGAGTCGGACACAGCAGCAAGACTGAGGAAGAGCCACACAGAGATGACAAAGTCAATGAGCCAGTTAGAGAGTTTGAATCGTGAACTGCAGGAGAGGAGCCGTGCAACAGATGGAGAGAAGGCGCAGCTGCAGAAGGAGCTCCTGCTTCTGCAGAGCACCCTGGAGTCAGAGAGGAGAAACTATAGCCAGGGCTCAGAGGAGATCAGGGAGCTGCAAGGTGACCCACTGACACACAAATGATACTGACAAATGCAAATCCAACACTTCAGAAAACAATAGCTAAAATACATGGGCAGATCACTGTTTCGGGGTTTTTTTTTTTTTTTAAAACTGTCAGGCCACAAAAACTATGAAGTATCTCAATGAATGTAAAAAGTACCATAATGTAACCTCATAATGTAAACACTGATTCTGACTCTCTTTATCTTTTGTTTCCCAGCGAGGCTGGCAGGGCTACAAGAGGACAATAAAAACTTGCAGCTCAGCCTCTCCAAAGTGGAGGCAGAACGTAAACAGGCCCAGGAAAGGAGCAATAACTTGGAGAAGGTATGCACAAGTGGTACTGCTAGTAGGTTTTGTGCATATGCAGTAGGAAAATCTTTTCAACATGTAGAATTGTAGTCATTTTGTTTCCCTAATAGCTGTGAGAGCTGTGTTTTCAGTTTGCAAAATGAGGTTTGTTCTCCCCCTGTAGGAAAAGAACAGCCTGGAGATAGACCTGAACTACAAGCTGAAGACCTTGCAGCAGCGTCTGGAGCAGGAACAGACTGAGCACAGGGTGACGCGGGCACAACTCACCGACAAATATGAATCTATTGAAGAAGCCAAATCAGCTGCCATGAATGGTATGTCAGTCTTGTAATGGAGCATGACCCTACCCACTGTCTTTCACTCTGCTTTTCCGGTTTGACAAAGTAAGAAAACGAACCAAACCCCCAACCCGCCCTACTCCCATCTTTATTTTAATGAATTTTTTTCATCATTCCATCTTTCTCTTCCTGCTTCATCTTTCTTTTTATGCCTCCATGCCGATGATAGCTGCAGCCAGAGGCATTTTATTTTCAGGTTGCCCGTCTGTACATGCGTACGCCCGGCCCATTCTTGTTAACGTGATATGTCATAAGTGTCCACTTGGACTCAAAGATGAACTGATTAGGTTTTGGTGGTCAAATGTTAAGGTTAGTGACCTCATGTCTGTCCCATTCCTGCAAATTTGACTGGTTGGCAGAGGCGTACAACCGCAAAGTGGTAATTCTAGTTTATTATCTGATCAAAGTCACCTGCAGAGGCTGATTTGATTGGAGGAATTCAAGAACTGTCAGCATGTCAGGGCATTGTTTCATTGCATATTAAAGCTGGACTCCAAAGCAGTGTTAGCATTAGCATCCGGATGATTTCTTTCTGTTCACCTTCTGTTCAGTTGCTGATAATCAGACTGTGTTTTGAAATGACCAAACGATTGAATCTTGTACTTTTAATTTGCTGCTACAGCTGTTCAGCACAAGATGTCAGAGGAGAATGGAGCGAGAATGCGAGCGGAGAGTCGTGTAGTGGAGGTCGAGAAGCAGTGCTCAATGTTAGAGTTTGACTTGAAGCAGTCTGTGCAGAAGATGGAGCAGCTGATGAAGCAGAAAGAAAGGCTGGAAGAAGAGGCAAGTACTCCATCTCACTTTGGCTGTCCTTTTCAGATATATCAAATTAAAAATTCCTTTGTACTATATCTGTGTGCCGTGTATCTGTGATATCTGACCTGTTTAGCATCTTCTTTGTCCAGGTGAAGAACCTGCGAATACAAGTAGAACAGGAGTCTAGCAAGCGTGTTCTGGTTCAGAACGACCTGAAGAGTCGCATGCAGGAGGTGGACCGTCTTAGGTGTTCAGAGAAGCAGCTCAAGCAGGAGATCAACACGGCACTAGAGACTAAACGCTCGCTGGAGTTCCAGCTGGTACAGCTGACCAAGTGAGTGGTCCTCCTTCACTGGAATTCTAAAATCTAATGGAATTGTCAAATTGACTGCTTATTATTTATGTTGTCTATCCACTTCATTATATTACATAAGCGACTGTCTAATGTAACATGAATAATATAAACAGAATAACAATTATGATAAGCAGAATAAAACACTTGTGTTACGTTTACTAGGAAACTAAGTTACCTATGTCCTTGTGTAAGTAAATTTTGCTCTCAAACAAACTGGCAGTAGCTTTAGCCAGGGGTTCTCATTTTCTGTTATTACGGCACTAGCCAGTAATGCTCTTTGGAAGTCAAGTGGTAAATTGCCCTATAGTTGCCTGCTATTTTCAAATGGGTGCTATTATTCCAGCTTAGAGTGTGACTCTGCCAAAGCTGCTCTGCGACAGTGTTTACACCACAGGATCAGGTTTTACTCTGAGCCCAGCTCCATTCTCTCCATTGCAAATCCCCTGGCTAGCACTGCAGCCAGCGCGACAAGTTGCATTTACTACAGGAGCTGACAAACCGGTTTTCCTGGCCACGGAGTTGTCTGGAAAGTACTCATGTATTTTACTAATGTGTTTCCAGACAATACAGAGGCAATGAGGGACAGATGAGGGAACTTCAGGACCAGCTTGAGGCCGAACAGTATTTTTCTGTAAGTACGAATCTGTTCTCCAGTGCCTCTGTCTTCTTTATTAAGTGTGAAGGCCACGGGCTAAGCTATCTTTCTGTCCTCAGACGCTTTACAAAACTCAGGTCAAGGAATTAAAAGAGGAGATTGAAGAAAAAAATCGGCAGGTACAAGAGGCTCATAAAAAGGTGCAGGAGTTTTGCAGTGAAAGGTAAGAAGCAGAATTTTGCACACAGTAGCCCTGCTGCTCACAAATGTGACCAACCAGATATTAATTATTCACTAACTAATGTTGCGTCCAATTGTTTAATTGAGATTCTAATATTGTCCAATGAAACTGTCCAAAAAAGCCGATGTGATGTGAATTTTATTAAACTGACTTTTGTTTCTTCTTTGATAAAGGGATTCCCTGTCTGCCCAGCTGGATCTGACAGTGACTAAGGCCGAGTCAGAGCAGCTTGCCCGGGCACTGCAGGAAGAACAGTACTTTGAGCTCAGCCAGGAGAACAAGAAGGCAGTGACTAGACATAAGCAGGAGATTGGAGAGAAGGAGGCTACTATTGCACGGGTGAGCAAAACATAAAATGTCTCAATTTGCCTTTATTGGCCCCATCCACAATGACAGCATTATTTTGTTCTTTCAGTAAGCTACAATATGATATAATTAATTTTATTTTCTCAACTTGGAGTAGGAAAAATAATAAGTAAAAAAAAAAAAAATCTCCGCAGCTTGAGGAATCCAATAAAACCTTGACCAAAGATGTGGAAAACCTCAGCAAAGAGAAGGCCGAGTTAAATGAGAAGTTTCGTACTCGAGAGGAAGGTACTGTTGACCTTTGTCTTTCTGATATATCATCATTATGCCTTTGTACAAGCTGATTCTCTTTCCTTGACAGAGTATGCAGCTCACCAGGAGGAGGTTGCAAATACACTCAAGGGCTATGAGAAGATCCTCAACAACGAGCGCACACTGAAGACTCAGGTAAAGATGCTCTTTTTTTAGTCAGAAGTTATCTGCAAACAATGATAATGCAAGTGGAGAATGGCAGATGATTTCTCTACCTTGGTCTGTCAGGCGGTGAACAAGTTGGCAGAAATCATGAACCGCAAGGACATGAAGCTGGACAGGAAGAAAAAGGACAGTGCTGCCGACCTGCGGAAGAAGGAGAAGGAGAACCGCAAGCTTCAGCTGGAGCTTAACCAGGAGAAGGAGAAGTTTAACCACACGGCCATTAAGTATCAGAAGGAGCTGAACGAGATGCAAGCAGTGAGTTAACATCTCAGGGTGCTAGTGCCCACAATAATAATGCAGGATTTTCCTTGTTTTTAAGTGACGTCTCTTGATCGTTCAACCAACAGCAACTGTCAGAGGAGAGCACATACCGTAATGAGCTGCAGATGCAGCTGGACAGCAAGGAGAGTGACATCGAGCAGCTCCTGGAGAAACTGAATGACCTGCAGCAGCGCATGGACAACTCAAGTGTCACCAGTTTGCAGCCAGATGAGACAGACAGCAACATCGCAGGTAAGGTAACCACAGGGGCTAACGTGATACTGCTGCTTCTGGCACTTAGTCTCAATACAGGATTCCTCTGCAGGTAAAAATAGTTGAAAATGCAGTTTTATAGTATCTGCATAGTCAAGAAATGGTACAGAAAGATATATACTTAAAAAATTAGCTGTTCAGAACAAACAAAACAGAAAAAATGTATTTTAGAAAAGTTTCGATTGTCGCTCTGATGGTGATCATCTGCGGCCTTTAGAGAGACAAATGTGTGACACGATAAGGCAATTTATTATTTTGGCTGAAATTTTTTTATTTTTTTTATTTTTTTATCTACCAGTCACCTTGGCCAGTGAGTTGAAATTAATTTCAGACCCTGCTCCTAGCGTTTTATTTTAATAACGTACTGTATATTTCAGTTATGTGTCGTATTAAGATTTCTGTCGTTACATATCTTGATTTACTGTGTCTTGTTTAATATTGGTTGCAAGTGAACAAGACTCCCAAATAACAAACTTTTGTTGAAATCAGCCTGTTTCCCAGTTCTGTTTGTGTGGAGATTTCAAATTATTCTTTTAGGGAGTTAAAATCATTGTGTAGAACATAATATCGGGGTTTTGGAGGGACTGTACAACAGGTAGCTGCAGCTTAAAGTTTGGTACATTAAGGTGTTACAAAGCTGAAGCAGTCATAGATTTATTAAAGTCAGGTTGCTGTGCTTTTTTGCCATTTGTTGATTAACAGTTGTTCAAAATTCTTGATGATATTTATCTTTTTCTGAAACAAGAGCCATCAGGTCTGCCTTCCTATATGCGTGTGTCTGTAGTTAAATCATTGTCTCTTTCTCTCATGTCCATTTGGTTCTCCTTGCTCTTCTTATCTTTGTAACTTCTGTCCCTTTCCCTCTGTGAGTAACCGAGTTGACAAGCCCCTTTTGCCTGGCCTGGGCTGCAGCTGATGTGTGTTTGCCTTAGATTTTTCTTAAGCAGTCTTTTGCCGGAAGTGAGACAGCCACCTCTGTTGTTCATGAAACACTTTTGAAAGAAGCCTTATAGAGTGGGGGTAAATTGTCAAAAAGGTCTGACCAACAAAAATGACTAACGTTAACAGGATGTTAAATGCAGGCAGTGAATTTCCGAACTGTCACAAGGTCAGCGCTCACGGTGAAGTAACCATATGAGACCACAGGTTACAGACTCCACCCTGTGGGAGGTTTACCACGTCACTCTCAGCACCTTTCAAAACGTGTCTTGAAACTGATGAAGCTGTTTTAATTCATAGCATTGTGTGCGCCAAACACTTTTAGCCCTGGGATTTTGGCATGTTGACCTACCTAGAGGTACTGCTCATTTTGGACCCGGAGACCTCCCCTCACAATGCCACATTTAGTAGACAACCCCCTTTTAGGTCATTGTTCCCATTTAGCTTGTGTTGCGTCAGCCGCATGTACTTGAATTTATATTTTTAACATCAAATAATGTTTGCACATTTGTTTCTAGGAGCGAGTAGTTAAGCTAATTGGAAGACAAGAAATACTAATTCCTGCTTAAAAACTTATTAGAAAGCTTGTAACATACTTTGAAATGGTAAATTCTCACGTGCTCTGTTAATTTTCTCTAAGTCGGCTTCCCTATGTCTAATATTTTCCTCATACATGGGGAGTGTGTGGTAGCAGCATGGTGTTTTGAAAACTCATTTCTCGTCACCCACACCAAAGCAGTTACCTTAACGCTGGCAGAATTCCTTGACGGGTTTCATCTGGTGTTTTGCAGTGTCCTTTTCTTTAATGTACTGCACAGGTTTGCAACTTTCTCACATCTGGGCTGTCTTTCAGAATCCAGATTGGAAGGTTGGCTGTCCATTCCTAATCGTACTAATATCAAACGATATGGATGGAAGAAGCAGGTATGTTACATTTATTTGACATTTCCTTTTTTCTCCTGCAATTTGTTGGACTTTGTTATGCTGCCATAACGTATACTTCCAAACCCTATGAGGGCAATATCCACCTTCCTGTCATTGTCTTTTCAATATTTGCAGTATGTGGTCGTGAGCAGTAAGAAGATTCTGTTCTACAATGACGAGCAGGATAAGGAGCAGTCCAACCCCTCAATGGTACTAGATATCGAGTAAGTATTTATTGTTTCTGTCATTTACTCCTTTTTAATGTCACAGTTTTCCCCAAAAAAGTGTTATTCTAGAAAACGAGTTGTGATGTTGGAGGGCTTGCATTTATGATTTATTAATGTTGATAGTAACTGTTGAATAATTGTTCATTTTGCAGCAAACTATTTCATGTGAGACCGGTCACACAAGGAGATGTTTACCGAGCTGAGACAGAAGAGATTCCTAGGATATTTCAGGTAAGAGACTCTTTCGTGTTGTCTCTGGATTTTAAAATATGCATTCAACCACATCAGCATTTACTCCTGATGATGTTAAAATGTCACATTTTTGGTATGCTCAACCTCAGAAATGTGTATTTTAAGGCAGATATTCTGACAAGGTACTCCCTCTCTGTGTCTGTATTCAGATTCTTTATGCCAATGAGGGGGAGTGCAGGAAGGAGGCGGACGTGGAAGCAGTCCCTCAGGGCGACAAGACCAACTGTCTCCCACACAAAGGCCATGAGTTCATCCCCACACTATATCACTTCCCTTCTAACTGCGAGGCCTGCGCCAAGCCTCTGTGGCACGTCTTCAAGCCGCCTCCGGCCCTGGAGTGTCGCCGCTGCCACGTCAAGTGCCACAAGGACCACCTCGACAAAAAGGAGGACGTTATTGCCCCTTGCAAAGGTAATCTGCCAATATTCTTGTCCTTGTTGGCCTAAGCTGTGGTGCTTAAATGTATCGAGTCACAATGACTGATGAACAGTTTGAATTAAACATTCCTTGCCTTAGGTTGAGTACTGTAGCCTTTCAGCAGGGTTTTGGACTGTTGGTCAGACAAAGCAAGCAGTTAAACACCCATCAAAATTGATATGTTTTTGGCATTTCATAGACAAAACAACTTAATATAAATCAATAAATTAAGCAAATGATGAATCAATAATGAAACAGACCTATGACCTTGAAATACATGTGAATTGGATGTAATATTTGCCAGAGATGCTCCTTGCTCAACATCATCTTATGCCATCGCCCTACAGTTAATTATGATGTAACTTCTGCCCGGGACATGCTCCTGCTGGCACTGACCCAAGATGAGCAGAAGAAATGGATTGGTCACCTCGGAAAGAAGATTCCCAAGACCCCTCCATCTACATTTTCACGAGCCTCCCCTCGTTCAATGTCCACTCGCTCAGGACCAAACCAGAGCTTCCGCAAGAACCCTAAAAGCAACACAGGAAAACTGAGGTAACTTGACAATGTAGATCTAATGTCTGGGATTTCATGCTGCTTATACATTTTTTTTTATTTATTTTGGTTTCATATAAATATGTTTTCAGGTCACTAATGTTCACATGGCTATAGCTAACTGCATGGAATACCACAAGGCACTGTGATATTGTTTTAGGCAGTGAGGGTGTGCTGCAGTCAGAAGTCTTACTTTATCCCATCTGGTGGGCTGAGATGTGGTTAAGTCAGTCACGTGACCTGCTGTTTGTCTCCTGTGTTGTAGCAGAGCGCAGTCCAGCCTTCAAGCAGCAGACACAACATCAAGCACTTGTTGACAGGAACTTCTTCAGAAAGTGTTGAATTTTTTTTTAGGGGTTTCTCTACAGCTTCAGACTTGTCTATTTATTAATTGTGTTTCTGGATGTTTCTAACATGAGACACTGCCTTGGCTGGTGGACTCTTGGGCTCTTTCCAGTTGACACTTGGGATTTTCGTTTGTCTAATTGGCACTAATGTGTTGTTGGGTTCGAAACTAACTTTAGACTTCCTATACAATTCTCTGTAGAATGGTTTACATTAAGGATTTTCGCATTACCTTTCAAACATGATGTAAATGTGTTAACATTGTTGCAGTGTCTGTAAGCAAGCTTTTTCTATTGTATGTCCACGTAGATGGGGTTACTAACAAAGTTAAAGATATTGTCTTTCTTTTACTGGACACCTGTCTCTGTTCTCTTTCTTTCAGCTAATCATCTGAATCGTTTGTGGATTTTTTTCTGGACTGTAGATTTTCCCTCCTTCCTCATCCTGAAAAATGGAAAAACATTTATTCTATCAAAAATTCATTAAAAAGAAAAAAATTATCAATAAAAAATAACCAGTGCTGGAAAAATGCAACACATGTCAGTGAAAAAAGTAGCACGGACATTAAGAGGCCTGATACCGCCCACAAGAGAAAACAATCATCCAACTCAGCAAACTCGCAGCTCTCCATTTCTACCAGAAGATGGCAGACTCATCTGGAACTAAAGATGGAGGGACTAATATGTCATAGAAACATTTTGTGTTTCATATTAAATGACAGCTCTGATTGAACCAGGAATGTAAAAGGGGGATTTGCAGGGACTCCTGCAAGTATGTGTTCAGTTTAAGGTACTGTCAATACAGGGATTGCAGATGTGCAGTGAGTGGTTGTGTCTCAGGGGTGGAAAATGAATATTTTGTTATTTCTTTACCAACCTCACAGATATTCAACCTAAATGCAAGCATACTTCTGTCTCTAGCTAAAAAATGACTGATGCCTTTATCTAATGTCTCTGGCCTTTTTGCCTTTATTTTTATCACTATGTAAGTCACTTATCAGATTTGGGAACAGAGTATTGGGGCGTGAGTATTAGATATTTTGAGTATTGAGTGAGGAGCATGCAAGATCATCATTTAAATCTGTGCATTATTTTTATTATAATTATTTTTATTGCTCCAAGCCATAAGGAATATATTCCATTGTAATGGCATATAGGAGTTCTAAAATGTAACAGACTTTTTTTGTTGTGTTTATTTGGTACATTGTAATATTTTTTTCTTATTTGTCTTTTGTAATGTATTGCCTTACATTGATTAATAGATAAATGGTTCAAAAGGAAAACATTAAGTTAACAAATGTTGAACTGCACTGTTTGAATTGTAACTTATTTGTAGAAGACTAAACAGGTGTAGCATTTGGCCCACCTAGTGCCTTAATATTTGGATATTGATTTTACTGCCATATATTGTTTGTTGTTGCCCCCCCCAAAACAAGACCAATCTAAACTCTTCCATCATTTTTTTTTTAAGAAATCACCACACATTTGTGGTTTTATTGAAACTTACTTTGGCTGGTTTGAGTTAATAAATATATGTATACATATTACATTACCTCTTCATGGACACATTGCAATAGAATTAGCGTGTCAAAACAAAGTTCCCAGTCTACAAATTTCGGGATGTTGTACTTGAGGCGAACCTACCTGTGTCAGTGAGTGTGCTTGTTAACAATTAGAAGTTGTTTCTCTAATATGGTAAAGTCCCGTTGATGCAAACCCCCCATAGTGTATATAATGAGAAAGACATACGGATTGTGGAATACCTCCATAGTCTCCTTATTTGTAAGTTTTTGTTCGGTTAAAAAAAAAGCACTGGAACTATGATCTACTCTTGTCTTGGATAATTTGCATGGTTAATTGCATTGGAGTCCGCACTGATGGATATGTCAATAAACATATCTTTATCACTTATTGTATGCTAGTTTCCACTACTTGTATCCATAATTAGTTTCATATTTTTTATTATTAGACCATTCCACGACCGGAGTACTAATTAGGCAAACTGAGCGGATGTTTTTAATATCTTAAATTTCAATTTTATGCTTACATGTTGTGCATTTTAAATGAGCTGTCGTTTAATCAGATTGCCACACAGTTCATACTGGGATAGGTAATATTCCAGCTGTGGAAAACCCGTACACACTACACAGTATGGGGGGCCCAGTAGCTTATCTTTGCTGGGGGGGTCTTCCATCCATCCATGGTGTTTCAATAACAGTATACACGCGATCAGTGGTGGGGAAACTATCACTTGCTTAGTGTGGTGGACTGAATAAATCTCGCAACAGTTGCCCTGACTTTGGGTAAAGATAGTCCGAGTGTGTTGCATACAGCAGGATGGCTAGCAGATGTCAGAGCGCATCGCTAAGTTCCTATCGTGTTGTTGCAGCGTCATTCTGTTTGAATGAATTTGAGAACTAGCCAACTCTTCATTCGCGCCCCTGTGAATAGAAGCAGGAAAAAACAAGAATCCGAGGAAGTAAAGGGTTATCCAATATGCCGGTGTTTACAGGTATGATAAATTAATATAGCACATTGATTGCCATGTAACGAATAAAGCCACGAATCGTACACGTGTTTTGGTGCAGCAGCTGAAATTACATTAGCTTCTTAGCTTAACTAGCTTTAGCGTGATATGCTGTTAGCATGTTAACGATAGTAGGCAGTCTGTCAACCTTGTTAGGCTACTATAGTAGTTATCAAAAGGAATATTTTGAGACCGGAAAGAACACAAAATTGTTTGACTGCGGTGACTGTGTTGCAGATTGTTACAGAAAATGCTTTGATAAAGCCGGCTACGCTAATTGCTTCTTAATGTTAATACAAACCAGAAGGCAGCTAGCTAAATATCTTCTAGCTACGTTAGCTGGGTAACAGTGAAGTGACTTAGGTAAGATATAGCCAACTGGTTTTTAACGTCACTGTTTCTTAGTGCAAGTCAGCCACTGTATTTGTTTACTTGTCAGTTTAAGGCGTTTACATGGCCACTTATATGATAGCATGACTGCAACTAAATCACGCCTTTTACGAGCACAGATAGCAGAGCTAGCAAAATCAGGTGTGTACAATTTGTAACGTTAAACCGTTGTTCTATAAACGTTGTGTATAACACTATTTTTTATTTTATCGTAATAACATTTGTATTAAATTCACAACCAAACAGCTAACTCGTGTATTTGTACTTTCAGCTCAAGTAATTTGGATTGCCTAGTAGCTTAACGTTAGCTACCAGATTCTTTGCACACTTTACTGTTGCTAACTAGCTAGGGATGCTGTGTCATACATGGCAGAAGTTTGACACGGTTATGGTGTTTCCCATTATTAACTCTGAGGCTAACGAGTGGGCATGTACTATTGTTTTTCTTTCAGTAAATGTGAAATGGGGCAAAGAGAAATTTGATGCAGTAGAGCTGAACACCGAGGAACCACCCATGGTTTTTAAGGCTCAGCTCTTTGCCCTGACAGGAGTTCAGCCTGACAGGCAGAAGGTCATGGTGAAGGGAGGCACTCTGAAGGTACTGATGGTCAAGATTCTGGTTTTGAAATGGATGTGAGAAAAAAACGTGCCCTAGAGTTTCTTTACCTAAAGGATAAGGGATTGTTATATTCTGTATTTTTCCTTGCCAACAATTGCCCCAAAAGACCAAAACCAATAATTGCTTCTTCTTAAAATTATTCCATGTGTAGCTGAAGCCTGTTACAGGACTATATAGACTTGTATTATTGTACACAAACTATTAAAACACATCAGTTGGCCACACCACTGCATGCTGTTACATGCTGCTTTATTACCACGAACATGGGCACTGTAGTTTAATTTGAGATGATCCCGCAAACACCATCCTGCTGTCATAAATAATCCCTAGAGTGCCAAATGTGTATTAATCCATAGTAATGGGGATACCAATATGACCATAGGACCCAATAAGCCATAGTAGCCCCTAACAAATGCACTATTTATTCCTGTTTGAGTGATTATGGTACTCAGCCTTTTTGAGAATTTGCTGAGCCCTTCTCAGTAATGAAACTATATTTGTGACATGCTAGGCAAGTTAAATAGTAAGAGATGTGCTAACTCATTCTTGGTACAGTCATAGGATTTGTTGATAATTAGAGCAACAAAGAGGTAATGCTGGCCTTGATCCTTTAGCAATTTTAAGGAGCTAATCTATATCTTGTCTCCATTCTAGGATGATGAGTGGGGAAACATTAAATTGAAAAATGTGAGTAATTTAAGATGTGCTTGGAATCATGTGTCACAAAAAGTAGTTCTCGGTTTACAGAGCTATACTAATAAATACATGTTACCATGTAAATTACTGAGTTGTATTTTTATTGTTTCTGCAGGGAATGACTCTGCTGATGATGGGCTCAGCAGATGCCCTGCCTGAGGAGCCTGCTGTCCGTCCTATGTTTGTAGAGGACATGACTGAGGAGCAGCTGGCCTCAGCGGTGAGTAAGCCTCAGAATTATCAGTACGACCATACAAATATGGTGATTGTTGTTTTTCATTCGAGTTGCTAAAAATGAGAAGTTTCATCACTTCAGTGTTTGTGTGGTTCAGGTTAAAAATTAAAGCTGCAGCCAGCAAGGTGTGTTGTTATGAATTTATTCCAGTGTATACAATACATTTTCACTGATAAGAAGCACAATGTGCAGTGTGAATTACAAAGTGCAATTTGATTCTGCACTCCTGTTGCTTATGAGGGTCGTTGATTTGTCTGTGATGATGCCAGCAACTAGAGCTCTCCCTTGAAAACCACATAAATGTAACTATGTTAACAGGCCCTCACAAGCGGGATGACTCACTAACTGAGTACTTGTGGAAATCAGCTGGTTAAATAAGGATGAAATTAGAACAGTGTGACTGAACAGAGCTTTTCCGAGCAGTTTCTACACAGCTGTGGTTTGACAGGAACATTTGCAGTGGATATGACTGACCGTTATATATAACCCTTGCAGGTTACAGTCAATTTTATTTATAAATCAAGTGAGATATTGGTCAGGTGGTTTTGGCAACTCTCAGAAAACCACATAATTTAATTAAACTATAAGGGAATCATTTCGTCTGCATGTATTAGCATATTTTTTTTCTGTGTATTTTACCTTGTTAATTTTAGAGGAACATGTCCAATTCTGTCATTTTCAGATGGAGCTGCCTTGCGGACTGACAAATCTGGGCAACACCTGCTACATGAATGCCACAGTACAGTGCCTGCGTTCTGTGCCAGAGCTCAAAACTGCACTCAGAAGGTGTTTTTTTTTCCCCTTAATTATTAAGAAGTTTGAGAGACTGTTTTTAAGTGGTCTAAATGGCTAAAAATGCAGTTTGAAATAGCCATTTGTGTTTCACTTAAAATTTGTTTTTGTAGTCTTGCTACTGCTGACAGCATCTGTCATCTACAGGTATTCAGGTGCTCTGAGATCTTCAGGGGGAAATAAAAGGGGCAAATGCACCATCACAGTACATCACAGCAGGTATGAAGCATAGCGAGTTATATAAATAACAAGCATACAATAATGTCGTAAAATTGCTAATGTGTATATATACTTGCATCCTCAGCCCTTCGTGACTTATATGGGACCATGGACAAGACTTCATCCAGCCTCCCACCCATCATTTTGCTGCAGTTCCTTCACATGGCCTTTCCACAGTTTGCTGAGAAGGGGGACCAGGGGCAGTACCTCCAGCAGGTGAGAACCTCTTCACCACAGTTCTACACTCCTTAAACGCACTGAAATTGATACAGCCATGGCTTATAATATTGCTGAGCACATTCTCACTTCTTGCCATTATTTTGCTTTTTGTTCTGTCAGGATGCAAATGAGTGCTGGTTACAGATGATGAGAGTGCTACAGCAAAAATTGGAGCCATTAGAACCAGAGACGCCAATGGAGGTAAACCCTTAAAAAAAAAAAGATATGCAAGGATGATTGTGTAATTAATACAATGAAGACAAATAAGATTCCATGCTTGTTTCTTCAATCTTCAGACTGATTCTGAGAGTGGAGCTGCCTCTGCCTCTACGAAGAAGAACTTCATTGACCAGTATTTTGGCGTAGAATTTGAAACTTCGTATCCTTGCAGTGTGTAGTGTCTTAGTTGTGTTGAAATGAAGTAAGACCCAGCAGTGTGGCATCACTCTGCCAGATGTTTTCTTAACACTCTTGTTCAGCATGAAATGCACCGAGTCTGAGGAAGAGGAGCCAATCAAGGGCAAGGAAAACCAGCTCCAGCTCAGTTGCTTCATCAACCAAGAAGTCAAATACCTCGCAACAGGACTGAGGCTGGTATGTATGAGTACATTCTTCAGAGTGCACAAACAGAGGTGTGTGTGAGTCCTCCACCAGTGAAGTATCTACTTTTACCAGCAGTTATGCATCATGAGTGCACTATTGGATGTTCTATGCTGGTCCAGGGTTAGGGTTAGGTCCAGTTGGAGTGAAAGTAATAAATGCAACATACATATGACTTAATAGTATGTGTAGTTTGTCTCCAGGGTAATGAGGATCCAAGCATGTTTCACCTTGTTTTCTCTCTCCAGAGACTGCAGGAAGAAATTACTAAAATGTCTCCAACATTGGAAAGGAATGCCCTGTATATAAAATCTGTAAGTTTTTCTTACTGTTATTTTCCTTGGACAATTTTAAAGATGTGATATTTCTTTTCATGTATTTTTTCCCTCCTCCTCCCACTAGTCAAAACTCAGCCGTCTCCCTGCCTACTTGACTATTCAGATGGTCAGATTTTTCTACAAAGAGAAGGAATCTGTCAATGCAAAAGTCCTTAAGGTTTGTTTTGAGTCACTAGAACCTCTTGTAACAGAGAACTCAGATTTTTAACAGTCACAGTAATTGGCAGTTTAATTCTTAAACCACACGGTTGTCTGTTTTTGAAGGACGTCAAGTTCCCACTCATGCTGGATGTCTATGAACTGTGCACCTCAGAGCTCCAGGAGAAAATGCTGCCAGCCAGGTCAAAGTTTAAGGAGGTCGAGGATAAGCAGCTAGAGAAACTGCAGGAAAAGGTAAGGCAAATCTATAGCTACAGTATGTTTAACTTAGTAGCAGAAAAGCTCCAAATTTACCATAGTGTATTGGCCAGTTTTGTACAGTATTTTTTTCCCCCCCTTAGTTGTCTAAGAAGCCAGATGCAGCAAAAGAAGTGAAAT